CTCCCGCCTCCAGACCGAGTCCCCGCGGGCACCGTCCCGCCCTCCCCTCGGGGTGGCCACGAGGGACTTCCTCTCCTCCTCCCGACTTCCCGCCCCCAGCTCCCAGCGCTCTTACGCCCCCTTTTCCCCCAGGACCCCTGCAAGTCGGTCTTGCGCGGAACCTGACGCCCCCCCCCACCTAAGCGGCAGTGAAGAGGTCTCTGTGCCCTGGAATGATAGTTCTCAAACCGGACAGTGTCAATCAGCATTCCTCCGGGAGGTCTGGGGTGGCCCCAGCAATGCACGTACCCCACCTGTCCCGGCAGGTAATGCTGAAGTCATGGTCTGGGCCACCCTTGAACATTGCCCAGCTGGTCGGCCCCCAAACCCCCTTCTGACCCTGAACACCACCCCCCTCCCGGTCCCCCCACTCCCACCCCCCGTAAACTCAGCAAAGAAAACCCTAACAGCTGGAGAAAGCTGCTTATCTCATACCAAGCAGGCAAAGTGGGGTGAGAGCCCTCGCTGGGAGCTGAGCTCCCTTAGGGAGCCCACTGATGGAGGAGCTACCTGCTCAAGGTGGTCACTGCTCCTTTGCACTCAAGAGATTTGAGTTGGGGTGTTAAAATGGTCTCTGAACTAGAACTAGTATTCTGGCTGTTAGGGTTTTACCATCAGTTTAAGAGACAATTAGGGAGCACCTGCGGCGCATGCAGACCCACCACAAGGATGATTTGAGGAAGTGGAAAAACTGGAGGCCAAAATACCAAGGCAGGAGGGAATTTCCAGTTTCCTGATCCTCAGCCTTGGTGTCTGGTCACCACTCCCCACGTGGGCCTGGGGTTTTCATTTGCTTCTTACTTTTCCCCAGTGGTTCACCCAAGTACACATTCAGAAGCCACATGGCACACTCCCATATGCACACTGGAGCGGTGTGGAGGGACAACACCCAGAAAAGTCTTCAGAAGACCTGAGCTGGGAATTAATTTAAAAAAAAAAAAATCCCTTTAATTCATGCGCTTTGGTCACATTGCACCATAAGCCTAAATTTTACTAAGATTTAAGTCAATGATCTGTGAATAGCTTACAGGGTTAACAGAGTCCACCAGACATGGCTGTGGTCAGATTTGGGATGTTAAATGTAATGTCACAGCAGAAGCAGCCAGATTTGGTCAAGCACCCTGCTCTGCTTTTGTTCTCCCCCTTCCTCCCTCTCTCACCACAACCCTCCNCCCCCACCCCCCAATCTGTTCCCTGTATGCCTGCCATCACAATTGGCCAGTTTTACCAGCCATTTCTCAAGACCCACACACAGCAGGATATTTGTAAGGTTGTCCAGAAAAGGACAAGAGGGGTGTAAAAAAAGTAGGAACATGAGTTGAAGTAGCTGGTCAGGCAACAGAAACCTGAAATGACCAATGAGCACACAAATACACAAATGAGACCAAGATTTGCATGAGCCAAATATCAAACTTTCATCTTCCACCCACTTTTTTTTGCCTAAAAACAGGAACACAGCATGTCTTGTCAAGGGTCACCCCAGGAGGAGGGGTAAGTGCCCAAGAGAGCCGCACACATTTTTATGATTTAATTAATATCATTTCTTACAAAGTATCTTTTTATCCTCCTAGCTTTCTCATGATCAGATCATCAAATAAATACATACTTCTCCCTACATTTTCATGGTCTTCCAAATACTGAATTTTGGGGTTTTTTTAACTTTTTTACTTCATTTAAGAATTTTGTTGGTGGTGAGTTTTTTTTTCCTTTTTGTTTTGTTTGGGGGATTGTTGTTTTTTGGGGGTTTTTGTTTTGGTTTGGGTTTGGGTTTGGGTTTGGGTTTTTTGCAGCATGGTACATAGTATGTTTGGAACAAGAGACACACCTGCTAGCTGGGTGATCTTAGAGGCAACCTATGACCTCTCTGTGCTTTACTGTTCTCATTATTAATGGGAATGTGGCCACTAACCCCAGGGTTGTTGAGAAAACAAAGGAGATAAAAACACATAAACCTGCTCCTTCCCCTACACCCAGTAGGTCCCCAACAAAGGTCACCGCACTTCCTCTGCTTTGTTTTGTTTTGTTTTGTTTTTGTTTTTTTGTTTCATTTTACCCTAGCATACTAGACTAGATACTGAAACTATTCACAGTCATTATACTTCTTGAAGCAAGAAGACCCCTTACCAAAAATCACATCTCCCTGGGGCATTTCTAGGAGCCCAAGTGGCAAAAATGATTAGCCTTTATAAACGTAAGCAATTGGTCTTCTAGAAGAAAGAACAGAGTCCAAAAACGGGTCCCCTCCACCACTGAAGTCAGCTGACTGGATCCCCCAAGGGTACCTTTCTTTGGTATTAATAGTGTGCCAGCCTCGGTTGTCTGGCTCTCTCCTTTGCTCTCTCACTGCCTCCATTCCCCTCCTCTCTTTCTTTCCCTGGAATCTCTTAATGCTGAACAGTTTTGTGTTTGCTGCAAACAAAAGGCACTAATGACAGTGAGAAATTGTCATAACTGACTTGCTGGGTCCTGTTGCTAAACGCCATCACCAGTCTGTAATCATTACAACCATTACAACACAGGGAAAAAACAAATAGCAACCCAATTTGCACTTAGCCAATGATGCTCCCTTGCAAATAATTTCATTTTCCTCTCTCCTCCTCCCCCAGATGGACGATGTAAATGACTTTGGGCTCACGCTGCTTGTGATAATAGATAAAATCCCAGAGTTTTAATGTTCTTTTTCTCTTTTCTAGGACTTCCCATGATTTGGGGAGGTGTTGCTGAGATGGATGTATTCAAGTTTATACTCTGCAGGGTTGATTTTGCTAACAGCTTCAAAGGAAAAGCTAACTAGAGCACTAACTGGTCTTATTTGTTGTTGAGTCTGGGTTTTACTGGGCCTTTCTACAGTCAAGGTGAGACTTCCTGGACTCTCAAAGCTGGGGGAGGGGTGGATATTTTTCTGGGAAATTCATCAAGCACACATGAAAAATGTCAACTTTAAGACTCCAATTAGAAGATTTTTGAGATCAGCAGAACATGCCTGACCTTAATTCATTAATATCACAATATTTATTCCAATCCCTGCTAGGAAACACTTGATGTTTTTGATAAGCAGCCCCCTAAATATAGTCACTTCTCAAGAAAACCATACACAATTGGGATTTGAATGAGTTTGTTTCCAAACATCTAACTCAGTAACGTCTGCAGGTATTTCTAACACACGGGGGACACAGTCCCATTTCACTTCTGTCCTTGATCACAATTCTGCTTATTGTCACATGCATCATATGAACTACTTGTATGTTATTGTAACAGCAAAGTTTGATATTTACAGACTTTAAAGGCAGCTCTATACATAGCAAGCAGCTCAATACTTTAAATTATCTGCAGAAAGGTAAGAATCTAAGCTTTGATTTACATAGCATTGACATTACCTTCAATACAAAAGTACCCTCCTTTAAATAGGTGGGTGGAAATGCATTTCCCTACAGGGGCCCCTGGTCAGGGAGTCAGTCCCCGCCCCTAAAGAGAACCTGGAGAATTGTGGTTCAGAGTATGGGGCTCAGGAACCAGCTGGCCTGAATCAGAACCCCAAAGCCAGTTACTTCTGAGCTGTGTGACATTAAACAAGTTGCTAAATCTGTGCCTCAGCACTCTATCAGTGATATTAATGGGATTGCTATGAAAATAATGTGGTCACATACGAAAGCACTTAGCACAGGGTCTGGGACATAGGAAGCACTCAAATATATTATTATTGTTATCATCCTCACCATCATTGGCATATCTCTACACAATGCAAGGCACGATGGAAAGAGACCAGTCCTGAGGATGAAACAGCATTGCTGGATGTCACCCACTGGCGTTGTTGAATAACTAACTGGAAGCAAGTCTCTGAAGCTTTTTAAATTTCCCTTTTCCACTGCTGCCAATGAAGGGATTGAATGAGCTGGTCCCCGAAGTCCCCGCAAATTCTAAAATTCTCTGGCTTTATTTAATCCTGCAGTGAATCCCTTTGCAAGGTGAAGAATACTTACACCCCTCAGTGACAACCTGGGAGTTTCTGTTTTTACTGTATTAGGCGATACCTAGGGTATGAATAATTCTCACCCTCACTGCAGCCACAGGTGAAGTGAGCAACCCATTGGCAGGTTTCTAGAAACAAGACATTGGTTTTTATTCCTCCAGCATCTGTGCTCAGCATGCTGACCTTGCTCAATAACGGTATTGAATGAAGAGTGAATGAAAGAAGGAATGACATAAAAGGTTGTAGATGGTTTGCCTCAAACGTTCGGCCTTCTATTGGAAGATAACCTAAAGAGAGAAAAAAAAAATGTATTGAAAACCACAAGTGCCCACTAAAGAGGGTGCATCCTGATAAAGGATGAGCCCTAACCCCAGGTCCCTGCTGGTCCTTGTCACCGCTAATGGCCTAGAAAGCTCTCTAGCAGCTAAGAACCATGATGCCTGGGCTATGTATGCAAAGGTGGGCCTGGGAGCTTTAGGCCTGGGAATGGAGGGAGTGAAATCCCTTTGTCTGATAGAGGAGAACTTGAAGGAAGAAGTAAGAGAGACAGCAGTGAGATGGCCCGAGGCCAGGCACCCCATGGAACAGGTAGCCAGTGAAAAACCCCAGACAGAGGTTGG